AGTAGCCGAAATTAACTCTTCCTGGTCTTAGCCATGGTCGTCTGTAACTGCTTCCTCCAAGCTCCACCTCTCTCTCGTTTTTTACTACCGGTTTTCTCTCGCCGTGCTACGAATATCTCCTCGGGTTTTGGTCGGCTCAAAGCCACCGTCATGTTCTCCTCCGCCGTGAACCGGACCGGACCTGTGACATCTCCGGTCCGGGCTGAAGTAAAACGCGTCTCACGCAAAGACGATGCCGTAGCTTTGGGTAACTTGCCTATCTTTTATTTACACACTGAGGATTGAGATGATAGTAGTTGTGATTTTTGCGTCATGCAAAAAAAGGGCTCGTGTGGTTTAAGTGTCTCTGAAAATCGCTGTCGTTTTGTACTCTTTGATTGATTGTAGTTTGTTTGGAATTTTGTGATGATTTTTAGCTTCTGATCTTCAATTTGAGACGCCTCTGAAGATTGTTGAGTATCCGGATCCTATATTACGAGCTAAGAACAAGAAGATTGGTGTTTTTGATGAGAATTTGAAGAACTTGGTCGATGCTATGTTTGATGTTATGTACAAGTAAGTCCTAATATCTAACTTGGTAGTTTTTTGTTTTGTTTTATGTCGTTTGTTGTTCTGGAAATGCAAAAGGATTCAATTCAATCTATATTTTGCACCTCATTTGGTAATTGTTATTTAGTTTTCAATGGATTTAGCTCATATCTTCTCTACAGTTATATTGGAATTGTGTTAAAATATTTGTTAATATATGTATTGATTCATGAAAATGTAAATGTATTTGATCTTCTATTGAATATTTATGTGTCAAATGATGTTATTATTTTTGAATTGTAATGTAAGTAGTCTAGTACTTGATAACACAGACAAAATCAGAATGACACTGTAATAACATGCTATTGGACAGAACGGATGGCATCGGGCTCTCAGCACCACAAGTAGGTCTCAATGTTCAACTCATGGTGTTTAATCCGGCTGGGGAGCCTGGTGAAGGAGAAGAAATTGTTCTTGTGAATCCGAAAATCAATAAATATTCTGATAAGTTAGTGCCATTTGATGAAGGATGCCTATCCTTCCCAGGGATCTATGCTGAAGTAGTTGTATGTTCAACCTTCTCAACTGAATTACTGTTTTGCCAATTTTTTGTTTAACGATATTGCCCATCATTGTCTTGTATATCGGTTTTCATGTGATTGATTTTGTTTTCAGCGACCACAATCTGTCAAGATTGATGCACGGGACATTACTGGTGCCAGATTTTCAATCAGTCTATCACGTTTACCTGCACGAATCTTTCAGCACGAATACGACCATCTCGAGGTTCTTCCTGCACCTTGATTTTGATATCTTTGCTTGATTGAAGAGAAAAGACAAAACAGAAAATACATTTACGGACTGGAAGAAACACTCTTACTTGTTTTCATGGAGGTGTCACTTGCAAGCTTTCTTTTCGGTCTGATGGAATGATCTGTCAATTACAGGGAGTTCTCTTCTTTGACAGAATGACGGATCAAGTTCTTGACAGCATTCGTGAAGAGCTAGAGGTGAGTAGAACTTGAGCAGGCTTGAGTCTAAAGCTACTATAGTTAAATTCCGTGGGTAAAATTACCCTTTGTACGTTAGTACTGGCTATGGTGAACATCTCTGCATAAGTAGTACATTGTCTAAAAATGTTTGTTATTAATTCTACAATATACTTGACAAGTTTTGTACCGCAGGCCCTAGAAAAGAAGTACGAAGAAAAAACTGGATTGCCTAGCCCTGAGAGAGTACAAGCACGACAAAAAAGGAAAGCAGGAGTTGGTTTTGGCAAACGTTGATGAGACATTCTCACTCAAATTCTCGTTTCATTCGTGTAGGATATGGGTAAAGCTGTTATTTCTGAGTTTGATGTTTTATTCTTTGTTATCTTGGCTTTTTGTCCTGAATTTTTTCCGTCCAATTTTCCGCTGCAGGATTTAGCTATGGTATAGATAGCAGAAATGACAAGAAACACGTTTTCCTTTCTAAATCCTGAGGAGCACATCACATTGTGTGATGCAAATCTCCCAACAATGATGTACGGTTGAGATACAGATCATATATTTCAGAATCTTTCTGAGTAACATATTCGTTAAGATTTTCTGTTTTGCTCTGTTATCTTATTTTCGCTCCTTAGCTTGAGTGTTGGAACTGCGTTTGCTCTTACTGACTAAGTTCAACCATTGCATGGTTTATACTTTGGTACGAAGTAATTTGCATTAGTTGTTTACTTGTGCTGGAATGTTTGGTATATAGACTTTTATTATTGTTTAGCTCTCATATTGTACATTTTCTTTGCATCTCTCTCAAACGACATTAGTTCTATGGAGTATTATATTGCTTGTGATTTATTCTGTCATAACTGGTCAAAAGTCATAATTGTTAGATTGTTGCCTCACAGTTGAAATCCTTCCTTAGGC